TGTGGTGGCCGCAATTCAAGAGTTCTTCCACACCAGCTCGCTCCTCAAGCAATGGAACCATACGGCCCTCACGCTTGTGCCGAAGACCTCCCACTCCTTGCATGTTACGGACTTCCAGCCAATAGCGTGTTGCAACATGATTTACAAGATATGCTCCAAAATCCTTGCTAGTCGAGTTAGCGGTGTCCTCAGCTCTATCATTGACGAGGCCCAAGCCGCCTTCATGAAAGAAAGGAGCATTACTGACAACATTCACCTCATGCAACAATTGCTCCGTCTCTACTTGAGAAAACGGGTCTCCCCGAGGTGTATTATCAAAATCGACCTCCGCAAGGCGTTCGACTTCATTTCTTGGTCGTTTTTTAAGGAAGTGGTCGATGGTCTCGGCTTCTCCCTGATCTTTACGGGGTGGGTCGTGGAGTGCGTCACCACTCCGTCCTACTCTCTATCTATTAACGGGAGCCTCAAAGGCAACTTCAAAGGAGCCTGAGGTTTAAGGCAAGGTGACCCTCTATCACCTTTCCTTTTTGTGATCTGTATGGAGTACCTTACTCGGCTTATTAAGAACAACACGACGGTCGGCACGAACTTCAACTACTATCCGATGTGCGAGAATTTAATAATCTTGCACCTTGCCTTCATCGATGACCTCATGCTTCTCTCTCGCCTTCGTCAATTAAAATCCTCATGGATTGTCTTAAGGACTTTGGAGCTAAGTCGGGGATTGAGATGAATGTGCTAAAGTTCAATATTTACCTGGTCGGGGTCAAGGACGATATTCGGGCTACAATCCTCGAGGATACCAACTTACGATGAGGCTCAAGGCCCTTTCGGTACCTTGGTGTCCCTCTCGCTGCGGACCGAATCACCGGAGATGACTTGATTCAGCAAATAGAGGGGCATCTTAGTCGGTGGAATGGGCATACTCTTTCCTATGCTAGAAGATTGGAACTACTTCGCTCGGTAATACTTTTGGATGGGGATCTTTCGCTTGCCCGACATAATTCAAACAAAAATCACCCAACTACGTAGAAGGTTCCTTTGGGGATCGAAGAGTGCTCCTGTGGCGTGGTGTTCGCCACAGTTGGAAGGTGGGTTGGGGCTTAGAGACTTGAATGCGTGGAACCAAGCGTTGCTCACCCGGACGCTTTGGAACATGCAAGCCAAAAAGGACACCTTATGGCATAAATGGATCCACAATATTTATTTGAAGGGGAACTCCATTTGGGATTGGGCAGTTAGACCGAAGGACTCACCCCTCTTCCAAACCCTCTTTGTGATCCGACAAGTCTTTGTGGAAAAGGCGGGGAGTGAGCGTGGTATGGAAGCCCTCATTCGAGGGTGGAAATCTCGAGAAGGACAAGATGGGTCTAGCAAATGCTATGAATTCCTAAGACCTAAGAGACCAATGGTGCCGTGGAAGGGGGTTGTTTGGGGTCCGTGTAATACCCCTAAGCACTCCTTCATCCTTTGGTTGGGGGTCTTAATCGACTCCGGACAAAAGATCGACTTGAGTTCCTTGAGGAAGATCCGATATGCCCTCTTTGTGGACTTGCCAATGAATCTTCGAGCCACCTATTCTTTGAGTGTTCCTTCGGCTCGGAGGTTTGGGGTGATATTCGTACTTGGATTAGCCTTCGACATAGGCCGTCTACACTAAAAGGATCCCTCAAATGGATCAAAAAGGAGGCGAGAGGGAGTGGTTGGCAAACCAAGTTGAAGAAAGCGGCGCTCGCGGCTACCGTGTACTTCATTTGGAATGCTAGGAATCGGTTGGTGTTCGAAAATGAATACCAAGGCACGAGTCTTGTAATTCGCAAGGTAAAAACACATGTTTATCGAACTATCTTAGCTACTTATCCGAATGTACTTGTTGAATTTGAGAGGAGGTGCCTTGGGTTTTAAGAGGCGCTTTTGGAGTCGAAACAGGTCGAAAATCAGTCGAAAATGCTCAAAATATGGCAAAGTTCGGAAAAATGGCCCTCAGGCCTGCGTTAGCGCGAGCTGGCCCGTAGTTATCCGCGCCCGCGAGCGACCTTTCCGCGAGAAGAGCACTTTCGCGAGCTGCCAAGCACTCCCAGGGTCGAGAACTCACGCCTGCGAGCGAGTGTCCACGAGCAAGAATAATTCCGCGAGCAGCCAGGCATGGACGGGGATGAAAACTCGCGTCCGCGAGCAATATTCCTCGAGCGGCACCATTTCCACGAGACAGATGCCATGGACAGACTTGAAGACTCGTGCCCGCGAGTACCATTCCGCGGGCGGTACCATATTCGCAAGACAAGTGCCAGGGACAGGCTCCAGATTCCGCACGCGCGAACTGCTACCCGTGCCCGCGAGTCCTCCCCATCCCGCAAGTGTTGTCTCCGCGCCCGCGAAACGCCCAAAGCCGCGAGTTGCCTGCTGCCCTGCATTCCGCGCTCGCCAAACTGCCCGCGCTCACGAGTGCTAAGCCAAGGCACGCGTATGTGACTAAGGTGAGCATTTTAGGCTCGTCCGGATCCATACGAACTCGGTTTTCAATGTCGTTTTCTCCTACGATTATACGAGTTCATTTTCTTTTCAGTATTTCAGAGTGAGCAACCGACTTGTGGTTGGCCTCATATATTTATGGCTTGCGAATGAGGAAATGACTTAGTGGTTGCCCATTACGCTTTTGTACGCCGTTAAACGGTTGTCTGACACATTTTTGATATATATATTTACATTTAACGATTAACATAAATAAATAAATAAATAAATAAATAAGAAAAAAAATAAGGATGGGATGATGACTACCAAAGCAGGGTCCAGTTGTGGCGTGATATTCGTAATGGAGCTGGATTTTGATATATTATGATATTCGACTTATGTTTGTGATTGATGACATTCATTATATTATTGATATATTATGATATTCGACCGTGTTTATACCTTAATTTCAAGTTATGTTTGTTATGAACTTGTTGAGGATAAAATGAACTAACAACAAATACAGTTAAAAAAATGATATTAGTATAATTAGCATAAATTATATTATTATAAATTGGAAATGATACTAGTTTGAAAAAACTTATATTAGTATAAATTATTATGTTATATATTTGAATTGATTATCTTATAAATTAGAATTTATTACTATTATGTTAGAAGTTAGAAATTATTATGGTATAGAATTAGAATTGATTGTTTTATAAATTTGAATTTATTACTATTTTGTTAGAAGATAGAAATTATTGCATTACAAATTAGAATTGATCATCTTATACATTAGAATTTATTACTATTATGTTAGAAGTTAAAATTATTATGGTATAGACAACATTATTATGATAAAACAATCAATTCTAATTCTATATCATAATAATTTTAACTTCTAACACAATAATAATAAATTCTAATTTATAAGATAATCAATTCTAATCTATAATGCAATAATTTCTAACTTCTAACAAAATAGTAATAAATTCAAATTTATAAAACAATCAATTCTAATTCTATACCATAATAATTTCTAACTTCTAACATAATAGTAATAAATTTTTTACCAAAGGGACTCCTACTGCACTTATCGGCACTAAGTTTGATGTTAGTTTGGGCTATATCAATGAATTCTGCTTCCTTTTCAAAAAGAGAGAATCTATCAAGTTGGTCTGATAAATCTTCTTCCTTATTTCCTGCCATATCCGTTGTTCCCTAATTCGATTCGAACTTCACGAGAGAAGAGTTCAGTGATATAAACAACCAAATATGGAAAAGAGTTATATGGTGAAAGAAGGTATGATCGGAACAATGACGGATAATAGAGAAGATGATCGGAAAAGGGACGCTCCCACCTGAGAGAGTCGCAAGTTCGCTCCCACCTGAGAGAATCGCTACTGCGTAGGTAATTTTTCTAATTTATTATAAATTATATAATAATATATATGAAATTAATTAAATATATTTTTAATATTTCAGCATTTTTAAATTAACAAAAATTAAAAACCGTGAATTTTTTAAAAAAAATATACAAAGTAATTTATACATATAATTTTATATTTATATATATATATATTAATTACAAATTAATATATATTTTAAATATATTTTATAAAAAAAATAGAAACCGCGAAATAAATAAATAATTAATATATATATTTTATTAAAGTGAGATGATAAGTGAATTTTCTTTTATTATGTAAAAGTCCATAATGTTTTTCCATATTTCATGTTCATTTAGTTAAATTTAATCATTTATCAATATAAGATAATAATAAGTTTAATTAATGATATTGTGATATTCATCTTGACATACATAGTAAAAGTGTGTTAAATGAAGGATCATTTAGTCCCACATTGATTTTGAAAGCAAAAAAGAATGCAACAAATAGCTATAAAAGGCTAGAGGCTTGGGACAATCCCACATCGATTACAAACACAATAATAAAGACCAAAAGTGGCTATAAAAGGTTGGAGAATGAAAACTTTGATTTGTATCCCACATTGGATGAGAAAGTCCAATAAAAGGCAAGAAATGACTATAAATGTTGTAGCAACTTGCATTACATTAATAATTATTAATTTTTTTCTTTAATTTTTAATAATAACTAATTATTAATCTATTTCTTTATATAGTTTTTAAAATATTTAAATTAAAAAAAAAATTGGCCGGCCGCCGGCCGCCAAAGAAGGCCGGCCTTAGGATTGGCTGGTCAGGCCTTAGGCCGGCCGAGCGAGTTGTGGCCGCGATTAGCAGTCGACCGACGTCCAAAAAAAAAAATTATTTTAAAATTAGAAAAGGTAAAATTATCTTTTTACGGTGCAATATTTAGTATAAAAAAGGTGCGTTATTTAGTAACACTCCTATTAAATTAGACTATAGTATATCATATGATAATTTGTGTAAGAAAAAGTAACAGCACCCTTGGAGTGCAGAAGGGGCGTCATTGAACAAAATAGTATAATTAGTGGGTGACTTTATTAAAGGGTGGGACCATGTTGCAATTTTCACCAAGAAGATAAATTGCTTCAATCATTGTGAAGTTCTGAAAAAATCAACACCATACGAAGCAACAGACTTTAACTACATCAGGTCGCCACCACGAGATTTTCCCACCACATCCCGCTTAATCGGATTGCCACGTGTCTAATATCTCACTGCCTACATCCGGTGATGCAAAAAGCATCGACCGGCTATAGCCAATCACTCCTTCCTTTCTATTCCAGCTGTCTGGTTACCTCGACAGCAACTCACTCATTAGCTCTCTCCTTTTCTTCTCTGTGAAGTTCTTTCCGATTACTCTCCTTTTTCAGGGTTAATAGCATTTTACTCATGTTTTCTTCCATTCTATCGCCTCCATCTTCATTCTCTGTCGCCAGAATTAAGTTTATATAGTAAGTTGCTAACTATTGTGATAACCTTAAACGACTATAAAATTTTGTTGTTTTTTTAAATATTTTTATATATATTTTTGGTAGTTCTGAATTCTTTCCTCCGTTGATTATTATATTCTGGGGGTATATGATGCTTACTTGTAGCTTATTCTGAGAAATCCGACTGCTAATTACTATGACGTGACGAAATTTGATTAATTAAGGTGGCTCTGGTTTTGATCCTTCTTTGTGTGTGTGTGTGTTTGTGCGTGCGCACTGCAAGGTTGATTTTTTTTTTCCTTAGTTGAATTGTGTCATGCTTCTGTCGTTTTTAGGGTTTTGGCTTGTAAATTCTCAAGATTTGTGCTTTCTGAATTTGTATTGAGGACCACCATTTATAAATTAGGGTTTACTGAAAATAGGTTTTAGTTTCAGATTAATCTTCTCTGGTTTTAAGTTTTGTCTACTTTCAACTTGCTGTTTGGCATATGTTACATTTGTTCTTGCCAGTGGCCAAAAACAAAATAAAAAAAGAAAAAGAAAAAGAAAACCTTGAGACCAGTGACCAAATTTTATTCTTTCCCTTTTTCAGGTGGTCTGAACTCTGAAGCTTTGTTTTCTGCGCGCTTGCTTGTAATATCAAGGATCAGCACCAGTGATTACTTGGACCACACAGATAGCTGTAGTAATGGTACAATCATCCTCAAGCTCCGGAATATTTTTCCAAGAAGACGGTCAATTCCAGGTTGCTGAAAATCCTCATCTGAGGCCAAACTATTTGAACTCGTTACCACACGGCAACGCAGATCATCAAAATTTGAGGGATTGTAGCTATACTCTCTTGAACAGTGTCGAGAGCTCAGGGCCGAATAACCAGGCGAGTTCTTTGGTAACCGATGCCAACTCGGGCCTTTCAGGTGGTCCCCATATTCAGAGAAGTTCGAGCATTAATACAGAATCTTATACGAGATTGCCCGCATCACCCATATCCTTCTCGTCTAATAATATTGCCTTATCTGGCTCGTGCACCATGGATGGATCCTCTGTTGTGCAACCGAACTCCAGTCGTGATCAACCGAGTCAACAAAGTCGGGGGCGGGGCCGTGGGCGAGGGCGTGGCCACATGGTGACTTGACTTCACTAAGATATAAATTTTTGCTGTGTTATTATATTTATTATAGAAAAAAATATATAAATTTGACCCCAACAATCAAATTGAGTGGTCAATATTATAGTTACTTGAATCGTGAATCCCCCTAAAAAATGTTTGTGAAAGCATTCAACAAGACTGAATTCTGTTTCTATTTAGCATATTTTTCAGTTCATTCTACTGTGCACGAATCACGATATATTAAGATTATTCCAAGTTTGTGCATCTTAAATATTATGCTTCTACTCAGGGTGGATCTAGTGTGGCATCTTTGCCAGGGACGAGGCAAGTTCAGTTTGCTAGTCATCAGAAGGTGCTGGACTCTTTTGCACGGGATGTAAATACTATACCCCGGCTGCAAAAAAGGCAACGTTTGGAGATGAAGCAGGAAGATATTTTACAGCAGCAGGTTTTGCAGCAGGTTTTGCAGAGAGAAGATTCAGTGCACTTGCAGAATTCTAATCCTCAACTGCAAGCTCTGATGCAAGAACAGAGGTTAAGGCAGCAAGAGCAGCAACAACAGTTTCTACAGGCTATGACTCCAAGTCAGAGGGTGCAGTTTTTGCAGCAGAATCAACAACAATTGCAGTTAAGTCAGCAACATCAGATGCAGGGAGTGTCGCCTGCATGTGGGGAACCTCGGCTTTCTGAAGGTGGTGTGTGCTCACGTCGACTAATGCAGTACTTGTATCATGAGAGACAAAGGCCTTCTGTGAGTGGATTGTTTATATTTTATGTTCCCTAGAAAATCTGGATATAATGTTATATTGCTTTCTAGTTTTTATTCCTTTTTTCTTTTCTCTTTTTTTCCTCTTAGAAAATCTATTGGCGTTTTTTTCTTACTAATTGCATTATCTAGTTACTAGATTTTTTTTAAAAAAAAAATTATTTTTTTTAGTATCTTGTGATGATGCCTGATTTGCGTTCTATGCTTGGGGTTGTGCTAGGACAATTCTATTGGGTATTGGAGAAAATTTGTGGCTGAGTATTACTCTCCACGTGCGAAGAAGAGATGGTGTCTATCACGGTACAACAATGTCGGGCATCGTTCAGCTGGGGTGATTCCCCAGGGGGCAGCGGTAGATTGTCATCATTTATTTATTTATTTATTTTTAGCTCCCTCCAATCCCATTTGATTGTTGTGTTAGGGGTTCAAAGTGTTCTTCAGAAACTTTTTACCATTTTTGTTTGACCATTTTATGAAATTGGAACATTGTTAGTAGCTAAGCATTTATGAGGGAAGTGAGGAAGAGCAATTGATTCGACATATTATTAATTGATTGTGGAAGTATTACTCAACTTTGTATGTGCCTTCATTCTTCACAAAAAACTCTAAAATGTCAAATGAAAAGAAAAGAGGCAGTTTCTATTCTTGCCCCCTCAGTTTATTTTTTCCAATTTTTCCTCCGAGTAAATCCATTATTTTATAACGTCCTGCGATGGTTGTTCGATGGGTTCATATATTTTCACATTATTTATAATAACTGGCTTGTCTTTGTAACTTGTTCCTTATCTTCTTCAAATGTATCCAATGTGGCACTTTCCAACTATAAATGGTTTCTTCGAGTTCTGCAGGATGCATGGCTGTGTGATTTATGTGGTTCAAAATCTGGAAGAGGATTTGGTACGCCCCCATGTCTGCTCCAGAAATATTTACTATAAACCTTTCTTTTCATTATTGATCACCTTTGTAAGATACTTTCTTAAAGCTAGCTTGTGCTGTTAATAATTTTCCATTAATCCACTTCAAGTGATATTTACTGTAATTTCTACCCTAGTATATGAGAAGGGTATACTTGTTTGCCTTGATTAATTTTATTTATCTTGGTATGAACAGAGGTTACTTTTGAAGTGCTCCCAAGGCTTCATGAGGTCAAATTCGGAAGTGGGGTGATTGATGAGCTTCTATTTCTGGACTTACCTCGTGAATTCAGATTTGCCTCAGGAATAATGATGCTAGACTATGCAAAGGTTGTTGAAGAGACTGTATACGAGCAAGTTCGTGTTATTCGTGAGGGTCAGCTTCGCATCATATTCACTCCTGACCTAAAAGTAAGCTGCTAACCTGAAGTCTGTTAATTGTTTTACATCTTGAGTTCGAACACTCAAACATCTTTCCAAATGTTTTTAGATTTTGTCGTGGGAATTCTGTGCCAGTCGTCATGAAGAACTCCTTCCTCGTAGATTGGTTGCTCCTCAGGTGGATATTCCCTTGACTAGTTTAGTTATGTTGAAGTCCGTTATTTTTCTGAATCAGTTCAAATTTTCTATAGTAAAGAACTCTTTTCTTCCAACTCTTCTGTTTAGCATTTGTAATCAAGTTAATGAATAAAATTGGTCCCACTAATCCTTATATTGTTGAAATTTCAAGGAGGCTAAATTACTAGATTCATTCTACTTGAGCCTTGAAAATATGTTTTCACATATGGAATAGGAAAATTTTAGATATGGGGTTGAAATAACGAGAAAATTTTCAAATATGAAATAGGATAATTTTAGATATGGGTTTGAAATAACGAGAAAAAATCTGGCGTACTCAAACTTATGGAGCATACGGGTGTATAAAATTTAAGGCCAAGGAACTTATGGAGGCTATTTTGGCTGCAGGTGAACCAACTACTCCAAGTTGCGCAAACATGCCATAGCACATTATCTGAAGGTGGTGCGGAGGAAATTTCACAGTCGGATTTAAAGTCAAGTAGTGTTATGTAAGTGAATATATTACAAGTAGTTTATATTGCAGCAGTGTGTGGGTAGATTTTTGCTGGTAATACGTATACAGGTTCATGTTTGAAAGTTATTTGGTTAGTTGTTTAAATCACGACTCACAAAACCTTTATATAAGTATTTTGATTAAATTTTGTTCCAGGGTTGTGGCAGCTGGGCGTCAACTTGCTAGAAGTTTGGAGTTACAGTCACTAAATGACCTCGGCTTTTCCAAAAGATATGTTCGATGTTTGCAGGCATGTCTCAACCATTTCATATCTTATAGTGTTAGTTTTGTTTCTAAAAATATTGTCAGCAAATTCTCATATTTGCCGCATTTGACAGATAGCTGATGTTGCTAATAGCATGAAAGACTTGATGGATTTCTGCAGAGAATACAAACAAGGACCCCGTGGTAATTTGCGTTTAATTTCTATCCTTTCCAGTTGAAGAACATTATTTCTTTTCACAAAGAACTTTCAGATACATGCATATGAGCTTTTCAATACTTGCCCGATTATTATTATCTGTTATGCCACTTTGTTGTTGAATGTCTCAAGGGATATATGCTACCTCTATTTGTTTGTCTTAAATACATTATTCAAAGACCAATACTACACTTATGGTTTTATCTAGTACAGAAAAAAGGTCAATTGCCTTTTAAAATTTACCAGTGGAACTCAGTGTTGTCAAATTTGTCATGGTGGGATTTCAGCCTGATCATTTTCTACCATTGATAAAACTGATGGCACATGTTTTTTCCCATTCATTAAAAAAAGTCCAAAATTTCCATTACTCCTTCAAATCATTAATACCCATCTATGCAAAGAAGGTAATTTGTTAAACAAATACATCTCAACGGGCAAATTCGAACTCTGGAAAGATAACCTGACAGTATAGTTTATAATTATTCCTATATGTTCAATTGTGTGAGTCCATGTCATCATAATCATGTGAAAATTTCTGAAAAATAGAGGTCCTCAATTTTTCAGAGGGCTTGAAAAACTTCACGGGACGTGCCACTTTGCCAGATGTCAACAGCCTAATAACATTCAGCCAAACAAACAGCATCAACCAGCTCTTTAATAGCCGAGGAGCTTCAAGTGGATCACCATTAGCCTCCACTGCATTGACCAACTGCCAAAATTCGCTGACCAGACAAAACTCCATGAACTCGACCAATAGCCCGATTCTTAACGACCCATTACCTTCCAACCAAGCTCAGTCTTCATCAATGCCGGGCCCATCTCGTTTTTCTCCTGGAATTTTTCCTAATGGAATTGTATTGCAGCAATATCTGCAGGGTATGGGTGAAAGGTATGAAGGGCAGACCCTTTATTCGCAAAATCAAGGTGGGTGGTTGAGTAGAAGCAGCAGTTTTAAAGCAGCCTCTTCTGGAAATGGGTCCTCTGCTCTTGTGGGTTTGAGCCAAATGGCGCCAGATTTGACGCAAAGTGGATATGGGACAGATGAGATAGGGTATTTTACCGGTAGTGGGTTTTTCGACAATGATTTCGAAAGTAATATGAAATTCAGCCAGAGGATATAAGAAATATATGCTGGTGTTAGTTTTTAACTTTCTTTTTTTTTTCCTCGTTTTTCTATGGGACAGAATGTTCGTTCTGAGTTGGAAGTCTGTACAGGTTATCTAATGTCATCTCTATATTGGTTATTTTTGCACTTTGTTACGTTTATGTGGTAGTTAAAGTCATGTGGAGGTTTGTCATAAAAAAATTTATGGGTATTGTATTATCGTAAGAGGTAAGAGGAAATATTACGGTCTCGTAACGGAACTATTTCGTCGGAGTTTATAACCGTTAGATCATTATGTAACCGTCGGAGATAGTTGATTTAACGGTTGCAAACTTCGACGGAGTGGTTCTATAGCGGGACCTTAGCGTAAATTTATTAATATTCAATTTTGAAAAAGTTGAGGAGATAGTAAATGAAAGTACAAATCTGCTCTCTTACCCACGGTTATTAACATCACCAATGTGTGTATGCCACATAAGCGGTGGACATATTAACATGTGTCCACCGTGGGTAGAGGAGCATTTCTCAATGAAAGTATTAAATGCATGCACGTAAAATATGGAATTTATATTTATAGTCAATTCTGTGCAAATACGTAGATGCAACAATTCTGTGCAAATACATAGATGCAACTAAAATATTATCGTATACAAAATTGAAAAATATAAATTAGACAATGAGTATATAATATTTTTAATCGTAACAATTAGTTAAAATGAATTAAAAAATATAAATTCTATAAGTCAGATATGAATCACTATGTTTATGATATGAATTGTAATAAATAGAACAATTTTGTNCTTAACCGCACAAATCTGTAAAGATATAACCACTAGCTGAATACACAACTAACAACTGAAAAAATTGATAGGCCAGATCTGGAGATCGCCTAGAAACCGACGCTAGCAAAGCTAGAGATAACTCGACAACACAAAAAACTACACACACTACAGACGCTTCCTCTCAATAGGAGAATAAGAGAAAACGACCCCAACAGGTTAATACTCGCTCATTACTCGGGAAACACATAAGTCAACGACCCAAACCAATTAACTAGTTGAAAATTATAAATATTATTATTATTATTATTATTATTATTATTATTATTATTATACCATAGCAATTGTTTATATGATTTTAAAGCAATTATAATTGTTGATTAGTTTTTTTGTCTTATTTTTTGAGAGGGGAATATGGAGTGAAAGTGTGAATTGATTTTTTTTTTCCATGGGCTCAGGTTTAAATTTAGATTTTTGTTTTTATTACATTATATATTTATGTTTTTTTTCCTTTTTTTCGATAATTTCTAATTTATTGTGTGTAGGGTGAATTGGAGTACCGAGTACGGTTTACGCAAGAACTGTAAAAGTGCGTAGGGTGAATTGGAGTACCGAGTATGAATGATGGTTTACTTGTTTATATTGAGAAAGATGTATTTATTAGCATTAACAATGATGCTACAATGCATTAGTTTCAAAATATGAAATCGCGTCGTGGACAATTACCTTCACGTCAGTAACTGAAAAGTTGTAACTTTTTTTTTTTTAACTTAAGTGAACTTAGAAAAAAAAAATTCATATTCCCCTGACTGATAAAAAATCCTAGGTCCGCCACTGTGTTTATACCATTAAAGTTAATTAACTAATTTTAAAAGAAAACACTCAATAGGATGAAAAAGTAATACTAATTTTAGAATAAATAGGTCAAAGAAAAAATTTAACAATAGAGTTCTTCATAATTAACTTTATTATATATATAATTAGTTAGTACTAGTAGTATTATTATATAATAGAATAGTTAAAACAAATATGACTACACTTAAACTGATAAAATTTGACGGTTACTTTCTTCAATTAACTTAAAAAAGAGCGAGATTTTTTTTTTAAATTTGCATTAATGGGATATTCCACTTCAATATATATAACATTATTAATGGATTTTGTTAAGGATTGAATTATTATTTTTTATGTTATGTACTGTAATTTTTATTTTTTGTTATGTTTTATATTCTATCATTAATTTATTTAAAATATTCAATTTAAACTAATTATTGAAATCCATATAACGATTTCTTGATTTGATGTCTATATTAAGAGGAATAATTAAAATTCAAAACATTACTGCTTATCTAACTGATCTGTAACGACTCTATTGATGAGCATTTTCAATCAACGAGTTAATTATATTTTGTGCGGATTTAACATGATTGGATTAAGAAAATTGGTGTGTTCTATATTGAGGGAATAAAAAGGCGATGGACAGAAAAACCAATAAAAAAACATAGAGATTTAAGAAATAAACCGAGGGTCATGTCGGTCATCAGTATCTATTAAATGCAGTATCGAATCTGAGAATATTGATCTCTATTTTTCACCAAAATTGTCAGCAGTTTTTTTACAAGAATTCTCGTATGCTATTTATAATAAAGGACCAGCGGTTACTATTCATCAGGTCGCTATCAAGCATTAAATTAGTTTGGGGTGCATTTAATTTGGCGCTAGGCTCTAGGCGACTAGGCTCGATAGGCTTGCAGGGATAAGGCTGCGATGTCCCATCTGTCATCATTTGGGCACATGTGTTCGCAAAATATTTTCACTATCCGCAAGTATACGGTATAGCTGTAGTGAGTGGCGAGCAAGGTCGTATTCCACAGAGATTGTTGTCAAAATTAACTAAGTATCAAAATATAAACGATTAAATATTATTCAGTCTAATGCAAATTTGAATGGTGATTTTATTCTAAACTAATGAATGATTGCAAAATAAATTCTAACACTAATGAAGGCTTGTTCTAAGATAAATCGAGAATGAGAAAATAGATTCTAGGTTATGCTTTCCTCGGGATTATTCTAACAAAGATTAATTATTCATTCAAACCTTATTTAATTCTACCATTCGTAGGGATAATCACTAAAGTAATTTACACCTTTCTCTCGAACAAGTTAAATCGTAGATATTAATTGTTATCTATCTTCTCTCGGTCTCAAGATGAACAATCAACTCCCGTAAGCTCCTAAGATTCTAGTTCCCTTGCAAGATTCTATCAACCTCTCGATCTGTTTAGTCTCTTACGTTATGAATTTCCCAATTCTAGCAATCAACTATCTCCTCTCGGTCTCAAGTCAATCACAAATATGCATAGATACGGGCCCTTATATTCACACAATTAATAAAAGCACAAGAAATTGATAAACGAATGATAAACCGGAATGAATAAACAAAATCACTTCATAAAATAATCCGAGTACTCGCAAATCCTAGAATCCCTAAAGGGTTTAGCTACTAAACATAATCTCAAAACTCATAAATATATTCATGAGTTCAATGAAGAAGAAAAGGAGAAAAGAAAGAAGAACTATTGTCGCCGTTAGTTCCCGAATCTTCAATCTTGACTTCCTCGAATCCCTCGTGTGTTTCGTGCTTTCTGTAGGCCTCCAATGGTGTCAAAAGTCCCAAAAATGAGTTCCTAAGGCCTCTTTTATAATGTAGGACAATTCTGGGTCGAAAAAAGGAAGAAATCGCACAAGAATCCTATTCCCCGCAGGTCTGGTCTGCGCGTCACACGAGTCGTGTCACATGCCACACGAGTCGTGTGACTTTTCTCTAATTTTCGGCAAACTCCCAGACTCACACGAGCACTCACACGACCGGGTCACACGAGTCGTGTGAAGCCACACGACTCGTGTCTCAACCCACACGACTCGTGTGAAAATGCCGTAGCTGCGTATCTTATTTCTTCAACCCACACGAGTCGTGTGACCTCTTCTGCACCCGTTTTCGCCGTTTTTCGTCCCGATTCCATTTTCAACACTTTTCCAGGCATATTTCCTGCAAAACCAACGACAAAAACACCTCTATCATAGTTTAATAAATAAAACGAAATGGTGCACAATCACACGATAACTAGGGCCAAATATCACAATATATCACTCATAATGCATGACAATATGATGAATATCAACTCCCCCAAACTGAAACCCTTGTTCGTCCCCGAACAAGAATAAGAAAATCAGAACTCAAGCATAATGAGTGATATCAAACTAGAACAACTTCAAGTTATTCAATGCAACCAAGAAAAATTCAAAAGATCATAAATTATCATGCTTTGACTATTAACTTGTATCCACCTTGAATCAATGAACTCTCAAATAGGAATATATAAGTGCCTCACTCACATGTCATCAATATGTAAAAGAGAAGGACACGCTCAAGTCACATTGAACACCCAGTTAACTATATGTTTGCCAATCATCTAAAACTCTACTTCAAACACAATCAATAATCATGAGCTTTATATCAGAAGGTCTTTTCAGGTTGTAATGTAGGTTATTTGGTCAAGGGTAAGATATATATGTGTTAAGTGGCTCAAATAAACAATCATACCATTCGAGTAAATAGACTACTCGACATATCCCACTCTTCCTCTCTAATCAACATGAAGTTTCTCAATCCCAAACCAAAACAATCCATACACAACTCATAAATGCTCAAATCAAATTACAAAGGAAGTACTTGACCATTTTTTTTCTTTTTTTTTTTAGAGAGTTCCATTTTTTTCCAAACAAAATCAAACTGCATGGACAACATTCTCTAGGTATAAACGTTGGAGGTCATCCAAGTGTCCTAGAGTGGTTTCCCATTACTCATTACACGTCAAAATAAATCAACTAGTAAGAGGAGTAGAATCCCAACAGTTCGACTTGCGAGCTCTCTTTATTATCATTATTTTTCTTTTCTTCTTCTTTTTTTTCTTTCCTCATTTTTTTTTCGGTCAAACACAGTAAATGCAACTCAATCATACCTCATTTCATACCCAATCATCCAATAAATAACTCCGTTATCCCCATGCATCCCAAATATCAGTCAACTCTCAAAATAAATAAGATAAACCGGTTGACAAGAAAAAGGCTTAAGGCTCAAACGAGCTACTAGTGGAAAATATTTTTAAGGACAAAGAAAAAGGCCAAACGAGCTAAATTCAAGAACCGCCTAAATCATTTTTAAAGCTCAAAATCATCAATGCATTTTTTCAAGCGTAGAATCAAGGCAAATTCTAATAACCCGGGTATTCAATTGACCCTCACAGACAAAGAATAAAGGCTCAAATCTCTCTAGGCTCAATATATTGCTAATTCAAGGCTCACAAGCATTTTCATCTGGACATGACTTTTACAATCCCAATCACAGTTTCTTAGTCACATCAAATCACAATTCACCATTCAAGTTATACATACCATCATCAAATCGAAAGCCCAAAATACACAAGTAAACTGACTCATAATAAATCCTACTCCTAAAAAGCAAGTAAACGTGCTCTAACTCAATAAAAACATAAAAATAAAAAATAAACTAATGCAACCTACATGAAATGCAAGATAGATGGGATAAGAACCTAAGATATG